CCATCCATCCATCCATCCATCCATCCATCCATCCATCCATCCATCCCGTTTATTCTGTCTGGATCACGGTGTGTATCTCCACCAGCAATCTATGGCCAAAATGCAGGTTCCACCCTGGAGAGATCAACAGTACATCACAGACCATAAAAAAAAAAAAAAAAGGTTGTGTGGGTACCTTTGCTGTTTTCTCAGATTTAGTGGAAGTTTTTATTTTGTTTTTATTTTTCACTTTTTTCAAATTACATTTTTCTTTACACAAGTAAAACAAATGGCTCGTAAAAATTTCATACTTACAAAAATTTTTAAAAAAGAAAAATAGTTTTACAGGTATATTTTTGATTTTTAAGTTACGTTTTTTTAGACTGAGTTTTAGAACTGCATTCATTTTAAATTGCATTTCATAGATCACATTCTCTTCACCCTAATCGTAATACAAACACTCGCTCTTGACTCGCTGCAGACACTGTTTTTTTTATATCATATTGTGTTTGACTGATATAAATTTAGAAAATGACACACTGAGTCACTGCCTCAAAGTTTTCATGAGCTGTTGAAACAACAGGTGCAAACACGCAGCAAGCGACAAAACCAGCTCCAAAACCATGTGTGATGCACAAAAAACTAATGTAACATAGAAAATGCTGTAAACAGTGAAAGTAGATGCATAAAATTATAATAAACAAAACAATGCAAACAAAAAAATGCTGCAATCACAGGAACAAAAGTGACACAAAAAGTGTCCTAGGAAGGAAGGAAGGAAGGAAGGAAGGAAGGAAGGAAGGAAGGAAGGAAGGAAGGAAGGAAGGAAGAGATCATTATCTTTCTTTGCATTTTCAAACACATATATATTGCATCTGTAGTAAATAGAAGAAAAAAACACGTAAAATGTAAAAAAAAAAAAAAAAAAAGATGTTTTGTATATATATATTCTGTAAAAAAATAAATAAATAAATGTTAGATTACATAATTCATAGTTTTTATTTGGTCATACTCGCCAGGCGCTGCTAATCAGACCCACTGATGTAACGATCATCACCTTCAGAGAAACAGCTCAAAGGGAAAATTCTGGTGTTCATTAACAAAAATGCAATGAAGGAAAAATTTTATCAGTAAAGATCTTTCCTGCTCCAACAGGAAGCGGTTTTAAGGTCAACAGTGAGAAAGATTATTCTGAGCTGGAAAAAAATCTAAACAGCTGCTGACTTTCCCAGGAGTTCAACCGGTAGGTCCTGCCATGTTTGGAAAAATGACAAAACCCTAATGAGCACCATAGTCCTTCAGTTCAGTTTAATTAGAGCTAAAGGAGTGGAAAGGCAGGTTTGCCTCCTCTCAACAGAGAACGTCCATCTGTAGAGCTGCAGTAGTGTTTGGCTTCCTTGTTCCAAAGTCAGGAATTGGGGCTGGGTAGGATTAGGAAATGTGAACTAGTTCACAAATGTTCCAATAACAACATAGTTTATAAGAAACAATAACAGGTAAAGGTGAAAGCTACAAGTTTAACTCACCCTAGCCAATAAGTGGCGAACCTCCGTTTGGCTGATCTTGTTTGATAGTGTTTGCCAGCAGGTCTGCTAATGCTAAGGTTCAATTAGCATTTATTAACATTAACCTACCTGTGCAGGAGGAAAGTGGCAACCTACAAGTGGCAACTACGATCTAGTAACGTCTGAGCTCCGTCCCACATGACCTAACCCTACTGTTCTTATTTATGTATTTTGGACCCATCAACATTTTTAAAACACTTATTTGTATATTC